TTTTGAGGCAAAATATTCCTTTGTAACTCATGAACAGATTAAAAAATAAGGGAGAAATCAAGTAACCTCTGTACAATAGGAGGCGTCAAGAGTACTTAATTACCGAGTAAGTCGCTATAATGTATATAATAAACAAAAATTTAATGATAAATCATTGTAATCGATAAAAAATTCTTAGCAAAGACGATCTGCCACTTTATAATGTTACTAAAAATAGTTGCTTTATGATATAACTATATTATTAATTATAATAATCTATTTTACTATTAGGCATACGGTAGGTTGAATTAATTTTTGTCAAAAACATTACGTTTATTATATTATTAATATTTAATTATTATATTATTATATATTTATATAATATATTATTGTTGTTAAATTTTGAGTAAATACACTAACTTACTATTGAACGGTGTGATTAGGTACGTGATATAAATAAGCAATAGCATAAAATCAATCATGATTGTTTTAAAAAAGTAATTCATCCTCACGAAAAACATTTTTGAATAACAACAAAATAACTAAATTTCATTTTCTTAGTTTAAAAACTGATTTTATCCATGTTTGAATTTAGTCTCTACAAAAAAAATTATAGTGTTATACATTTTTTGAATCTATTATAAATTACGAATAAAAAACCAAGTATTTAATATTCAAATAAAAATAGATTTTATCCTAGACTGGTTTTGCGTAAATATACCCGTTTTTTTCAACTAGTGCTGGGAAATGTTATTCACTTTTTACCACCCAAAGTACAATTATTAGACATGTTTTCGCATCAGAACAGATATTCCAGTCGTTTAAAACATTTTTTCACCATAAAAAATGTCTTTGAACAGAAAACGAAGTTCCACGCCGTTGTATTATGAAACCAATACGTTTTTGGCTTAGCTCGGGATCTAAAAAAGACAAGAGTCTCATAAACACACAAATTGAAAACAGTGACAATACTTCACCGCAGCGACTACTCGCGTACACACGCCTACCCGCCGGGCCCGCGAAGTCTCGAGTCCGGTGCGCCTGAAAAAGAGTACCTTCACGTCGCCGCTGCAGGATCGCGAGCTAGGACGAGAACGGAACAAGTTCGTCGTGCGACGATTACTCGCGAGATCAGGAAAAAAAAATTGACAGATTACGCCAAAATCTTACGCACGGCTCTGCATATACCGTCGTCCAATGCTTCATATAGCTTTGTATATTTCCAACGCCATTATCGTTCGGTCCGGGGTCGCGGTCGACGTACGACCGCGGTATATACGTTTACGACTTCACTATCATTTTATTGTCGTTATGACCATTACACACAGACTACTTCACCAGCTCACGATGCCGTACGACACCCGTACGGTCTGAAACCCGAGAAGCGCGCATGTCAAAACAACAGTTTATAATGATAATAATATCATAATATATATAATATATAATAACAATAACAACAATACCAGTGCACCTTATATTGTATTATTATAATAATATGCTCTCGTTTGTGTGTGTGTGTGTGTGTGTGTGTGTGTGTGCGCGCGTTTTTATGTATCCTCGGGGAGACGCCCGCCGGTTCCGCCCCCGTCGCGATTTCGGGCCGTAATAAGGGTCGTCCGCCTGCCCGCCGTCCTAGTCAAAGGGTCCGGGGACCGACACGACGCGTGCACACGAAAAACGGTCGCACGTCGCCGAACGCCGTCGCGGCCATCGCCGCTGTCGGTACGCGATATTAGAAATAGCGCGTATTAATAATCGTAACATCATTTTGTCGCACTCGAACCGTCGCAGCGGACGCGTCGACGCGCACGTACGATAACAATAATAATAATAATTATAATAATATCGTTATTATATAATAACACACCGTTTCGACGTTATTCGAATAACCGTGCGCGCCTCCCGTTCCTGTCGCGATTCCGGAAGAACTCTCGTCGAGCACCTTCCTGAAATCTCTGGAGCACGCGCCCGACGCTCGCACACACGACGATAAGTCGTCCCGTTTACGTACGTTTTCTATTCTCGTTCGCCAGCGCAAACGTCTCGTCGCCGATGACCGCCGGCGACGACCAATACTCGTCGCAGTTGTTAGACCGCTGCCCAGCGTTTGTAGAGACGACATTATTATCGTTAGTACTATTATAAAACGCCGGAAACCATTGTTTCGGACGGAATTAATATACCACCCGATATGCTGTCGTCTTACAGAAAAGGTTAGTGAGTGTACCTAGTATGTATTATTATCATTATGGCACGCGGACATCCGGCGCGTTTAAATGCGATTTCGGCGTATAATATTATAATAACGATTGTCATATTGAATCGCGTAAATGGACCTAAAATAATAAAATACAATACTTTGTATTATACTATAATATTATCGGTATTTTACACATAAACGAGTCGTGTAAACCTCATCCTGATAAATTGCAGTTTAATGTATTAGAGTTCGGCCGACGCGAATTGCCGGAAATCTTTGTACATTCTTCAACGTTGAGGACCCATATTTAAATCGTAAAATGTATATTCAGATCACTCGTGAATCGCGATCCGAACTTTCAAGAATATTTTTTTTAACTAATCACAAAGTCTGGTTAATTCAACACATTTCGCATATCATCAAATAATATTATATGTTCATAAATATTTTAAGTGTGAACAAATATTTTCAAAACTAAAATGTCTAATAGCAAACTTAGATCTTTGAACAATAGATTTAATGGAGAGAGAGAGAGAGAAATAGAGCAATGGTAGATAAGTTTTACTAGTGATTACATAAATACTATTTAAGTTTTAGATCTTGAACATTATTAAATGTTGTAATATTTGGTTAATATAAAAATTAATTAAATATATTAAAAGATGACATTATTGATACGTTTTAGGATAATTTGGTAAGGTTAGGTATAAAAAAAAAAAACTATTATTTTTAAAATAATTTATAATTAGTCAGTTAAACTTCTTTTTAAGTTTATATTATGAAGTGTCCAAACTCTTTAAAAATTATTTATCCAAGTATCAAGAGCTTCCAAATAAACACTAAGTATACCTAAATACCTATATTATGTATCTTTAATATGTATAATATATTCATTATCCAATCAATTATTATACATTATTCGGTGTTCTGCGGATAAAAATTTCGTATTTACTCTGATAATTTTAATTGTAATCTGATAATTTCGGTATAAAACGATCAATGTGCCGAATACTTAAAATAGTGCAATACTATATTGAATATAATTCTAGAAGCAAAAACTAAATTAAATTTATTTGAAATAGAATTATTTATAATATTACTATTTAATTATTAATCATAAAATTAAAAAATTATTTTTATATTTAGTTAAAATTTAAAAATTAAATATAATTATTTATTAGAACAAATTTAATTTGGACACAACTTGCAGAATTTCAAAATTTTCTTTTGGCATTACATTTATATTTATTTGCAATATTGGCATTTAATTAAGATAGACTACATTTTTATAGAATCCTAATTACCAGAAAAAATATAGTGCATTATAATTATATTTTATGCAAATGTTTTTCTTGTGGCTAAAACTTCTAAAATATCTACTATGTGTGTGTATTTCATCAAATAACAATAATCAACGATAATTATTTTACCAAATTATTTACTTGAACTACTCATTTGTAAATAAGTATGTAAAAATTACCCGGATAATTTACAAAATAAACGTTTTATTAATATAGGTGGTGTTCATCTTTCCCAGATAATGTATGCATTAGCAGTCTTTCATATATTACCTGTAACATGTACATTTATACACGACAGGCGCTCTCAGCATAAACGTTTCTCATAATTCTTCTTCTCGTGTCTCTATAGTGTTATTTATTTTTATAATTATTATTTTATTTTTTTTTTTTTTTGGTACGAACACGCAAAAATCCGGTGGCAATTTCAACGAAATTTTTTCCACGGATGTGTCTCGTGAGAACATTCCTCACGAGATGTCTACAAACTTAGTATACTATGTACAGCAAACAGATATTATACAGTGCACAAACACACACACACACACATATTATATCTATAATACCAACTATGTATTAAACGCGCACATAAATGTTTAGTAATCCCCCACCCTTACCCACTCTTATGTATCTAGTTTGCTTGAACTAGCGTAATAATTTGTAGTTATAATAGCCGAGAAGTTTCATAAAACATAACAAAAATATAATATTAATAAGTTATTATGATAATTGATAACAATATGTTCACAGAAGACTAAAGTTTCCCAAGGGATTTCAAAAGGAAATTTTTTTCATTCTTGCCAAAATGCAAACATCTTTTATTTTCATTTTTCACTAAAAAAATATATTTAACCATCACTGGCATATTTATAGACAGTGGTGTATTAAATATGACAGACCCAGTTATACGATGAAGTAGCGCATCTTTTACATTAACATTTAACATAGATACAATTATATAAGGTGGTAAGTTAGGATAATGTAGTCCCCCACAATGCCATAAATAAACTTCTCCTAAAAAATTTTAAAATTTTAATAAATAAATTGGTTTATTATAAGACTTAAACTACACAAAATTTTACTTTAGACTCTCATTTTTTATAAATATGCATTTTATTTTATTTTTACGATAATTGAAACGTATAGTAAAATTTGTACTTGGTATTTTGAGCCTTAAGCATCACTTAATAAAAATCCCATTATAAAAATCAAAATCAAAACTTTTATATAATAATAAAATATTAATTGATAGTTGGCGAATAAAAATATATTTAAATATGTACTAATTATTGGTTAGTTGATGAAAATGCGCGTGGAACACTTAAACCGATCTCAAGACTTAATAAATACGAATGATTAACTCCATAATATTATTGAATAATTAAAATATATTAATAATTTGGACTAATATTACATAATATTATGTGTATTTATGTACTCGTATTATAATATATTCATACATACAAACATCTGCACGTTATAACTAGACTACGATTTAATTGTTTGTATTCAATATGTTTCAGGAAAAGAAGATACTTCAAACGAAGTATACCATTCTACTGGTCCATCATACCCAAGTCCATCAAGTATGCTTCTATTCCAGACACAGGTTAGATATAAAATAATATCAATCATTAAATGATTAGACTCTCACTGCATTTTTTCAGCCTAATAAAACTTCCGACAACATTTTGTTCCCACGTGACACGTAATGATTATTATTGTTTATTCGCAAACGATTCACGTCGAATCTATCGATTGTACGTAGTATTTTACTCAAACAAGGGTATTATGTTTTAAAAATATATTTACATCAATTACATAAGTCTACAACATATTAATATACCATATTTTTTTTTTTTTAAATACCATAACTTGAAGGAAAAAATTATTATTGTATTATATATATACTGCAGCTATAACTATATATTATACCTACTAGTTATATGTGTCAACTTACGTGTAGGTACTTCTAATTATTCTCCAGTCATGGTTGTATATCTAAATTTAAATTTGGTTAAGCTATGGTTAGTTTAGCGTATAGGAAAAAAACATTTTAATGTACGCTGCCAATCACGCCGCTCAAAAGTTTATGATGAATTTATGTCGAGGACAGCTTCAAGCGATTGCTCTAGCGATATACATTATAAAATAACATATTAATTAAAAACTGTTAAAATTAAATTCAAATATATATTTCAATTTAACCTTGTAATTACTTATACATGAGTTGGATAAATATTTAATTTTAATTGAATTGTCATTTGCTATAAAAATCATATAGGTAATATTTGGAATGAAAATATAATTTATTCGATAATTCGTTATACTGTTTATAATACTGGAATTATTGAAATGTTTATAAAATCAACAGCAAAAAGATCAAATTTTTTAAATTTGATACGATGTTTTTAAGTTATCTTCATGTTCAACCATATCAAATACGATCTAATAACATAGTTGGACATTTTCTCCCTAATTTAATGACGTTTCAGCGACATTTTCTACTAGACTTGACATATTTTATCATACTTTGTACAATATCTATAATATCCTAACTATATATTATTATGTATTATACCAAAATGGATGTGTAAAAAATTGTTACTTGCTCGGAGTGAGTTTTAATATAACAAGTTAACAGGTATACTCAATCCTATAACAGCTCAATCAAACGAGAGACGTTGTCCATCTTCAGTAATAGATATTGGCATAAAAGGTTTTTAACTTTGAACCATAAATAAGAAAAAAATCTCCAAGATTCTTATAATTTATTAACTAATTATTTTACGATCGTAAAAGAGTTTTAATAATATTTCATATAAAATGTGCTCAACTATCGAAAATAAAGCATTATAAAAATAATCATATCTACTACAACATATTATTAAAGATTTCATGTACTCTAAAAAGTATACATTTTTTTTCGCCTTACGACTTATACAAATACACCTAGTAAGAAATTTTATTAATAATAAGACTTTCTTAAAAATCAAAATATTAAAGTTTAATTTATTTTAATATTCTAAAAAATAGATTAATAGTATTATTCTGTACCATTGTTATACTTGTAATAGGTAATTAACTATAATTACAAATTACAATAAATAATCATTTTATTTTTTAAATTTTTGCCAATAATTTATGATACAACTTATTGGATATGATACAATTTTCAAAATATTTCGTGCTATTTATGAATATCTAATATTTTTTTTATTACCTAGTTGATTATTGTCTATTGAATAATATTTTTGTTTGTGAACAAAAATCTTGATAATTTAATACAAAGTTTTTCATAAGTTTGATCTTACCTAGTTAAAACAAAACATCTAAATATTTTTTCACACATTTTTTTTATAATCATTTTAAAGTTCAAATGTCTGTGAAATTCTTCGCAATTTGTAATGGAAGTGTTTAAATTAGTTCGTTATTAAATATTCATAAAATTTTTAATTTTAATTTCAAATAATTGAAAACGTAATACGAGAGTCATCATAAGTATTATTACTGGAATTTAAAAAAAACTGGTAGCGAAAAATAACATGCATTACTTATGAATAATAATTATTAAGTTCAAATTTAGATGATATTTGATATCCAAATGTATAGTTATAAATTATATTCGCACAATATTTGTTAATTTGTTATTATGCAAAAAATGTAGAGACTTGAAACATTTCACTTTTAGTTTGAATAATCTTAGAAATATTTAAATTTATTTTAAACTATTTACCTAATAAAAGAACTATACACTCCAATCTATAATGCGTATTGGAGAGATGAAATTAACTTGTACAGTTAATAACTAAGGGTCTTGTTAAATAAAATAATGTTATAATTGTGCGATTGAATTTAAAAAAAAAAATAGTTAAGCTTACAGTAGGTATATATAAATATATATACATAAATAATAGAAATAGAAATTATTAATTATACTACAAATATAATTTAATAAGATATAAGAAATATAAGCAGACAAACTGTCTTCTCTCATTAGTATCATTTTTTATGCATTTAAATTCAAGTTTAATACATACTGACTATGATTTTCATAATATAAAGTACATTCAATATCTCATATTTAGTAAAATAACAACTTCAGTTGTTTGTATTAAAATTTTCAGAATAATATTCTGTTTTGAAATATCAGATAAAAAAAAAATATGTTGTAGCTAAGAAAAAATAAAAATAAAAAAATAATTAAAATAAAATTATTTATTTTTTTATCAAGATTATAAATGTAACTCAAAAACAAATAACTATAAAAATTTGAAATGTTCACCAATATATATTTTTTTTTTATATTATCATTTCCTGTTATCGAAAAAAATTTCAAAATATTCCGCCTATTTTTGAGCTATTTGTAGATATTTTTATATCCATTTTTTTTTTTTTTTTTTTATAAATTTTGAATTAAAAATTATTTGTTAATTAGAATTGCTAAGAAATTTAATACAAGACCCCATAAAAATTATTCTTATATCTCTATAAAAATAATTAAAATACACAAGTCCAATTTTTATTTTATACTCGTATTTATTTGAAAGTTGAATTTTTTTCTAAATTCGCCAATATTGCAAAAAGTTGCAAGCTACTTTTTAATTGAAAATTCATTTTTCTTTTTGTATCTAAATGTTGAAAATTTAATACAAGGACTCTTTAGAAGTAGTTCATATTGAAACCATAAAATCTAATATATATATATATATATAAAGGGTTATTTTTATAGACATTTTAAGTTCCATTTTGATGAAATAAATTATTTAAACTTTATTTAACAATATGTTAACTGTTTTACTTTAATTTCATAAAAACATTTGTAAGCTTTTATATATATTTTTTTTTTTATTAATTTTAATATATGCGATAACATTTTTAGTTTATTTTAAAATATTATCTATTTATAAGTGTTCTATATTTTATAGGTAAGTTTTATGGTATTTACAAAAATATGTTATTAAATTAAGAGTTATACAAATTTATATAGTATACTATAAATATATATAATTATTATAATAATTAAATACTAACAATTTAATAAATGCATTATTTCCGAAAAATAATATATCAATACTTACTATAATACTAAAAGTAAAATAAATATTCATAATAACTATATCAAATAAACGTATCGCTTATTGAAGCTATATTTATATAGATTGATAGATCATTTCCACTCAGAATCGTTTTACGTATACAATGATAGATCATTAAGTTCAAATTTAATACACCTAAAATAATTATTACTCACTCGACATCTAACGTACTGCAGAGTAGTAACTGCTTATTTAACTTCTTTTTTTAAATTCAGTTTATAAAAATCTTACAAACACTTTAATTTTTGGGCTCAAAAGTCCATGATAAAACTATAAACTGAAATTTTTAAGCCTATTATCATTAGGTAACAATATTATTATTGAATTATACAATTTTGTCTCTCTGTTATAATATATCAATATATTATTCATTATTTCGATTGCGCATTACTGCATTAGTATAGGTACTTATATTATAGTCATTCGATTACAAATTGTTTGTTTATCACACGCAATATAATCTGTCAGTAGATTTTAAATATCCATTTTCTTTCAATATAAACTAATTTAAATATCCTAACATTTATTTAAAAATCAAAATTATTCATAACAAATAGTATTAATATTGTAGTAGGTTAAAACATAATATATAACACAATATTATCTTTGTTAAATATTTTTTTCAGCTTTAAATTTTAAATAGGTGTACTCGTATTATACCTATATGTGTATTTGCATATTAAAATTATCATTTGGTCTATTTCTCGTTAATAGATCAATGACTATCCAAAACTCGGTAGTGGACCACATTATAATCCATTGTCGGTAGTATTAATTTAGTTTTGAAAATGATTATATTTTTTTTATTTTAAAAACGGTAAAACAGAAAGTAATTTACTCGCAATCGTTTTTTAAACTATTTTCGTAATATCGCAAAGACACTGGCAAGTTTATTATAATATTTCTTTAAATCCAATATATACGACACACGTATTGTGGCAAACAACCGGTCTACATATAGATGAATAATCTATTAAAATTCAATTTTTTTTTTAAAGCCTCTTTGATAAATTCTAGAAAATCTGGAATTTAAATTTTCAATCCTTTGATAAATAAACTAAACTACATTTATCAAAAATAAAAATCAACGAAATAATAATCAAACAAAAATCAACATCTTTAATATTAATAGTTATAATTGTTATGAATATTACATAAAAAATACAATTACTGTCTATTATATTATTACATTATATGATTAAATATTATACTATAGCTAGTATTATTGTATACCTACGTATTATAAATTCAAAGACAATACATGATTTACTTCAACCTACTTAATATTTATATATTATACATTATATCGAGACATGTCAATTTGATTTTATACCCATGCTTATCTAAAGAATGCTTTATAATGATATGACGACCAGAAATCATTAAAAATTTTAAACAGTTATATTGTTTGTTATCGCCAGGACCAATCGTCCAATAATGGTAGTATATTTTATTGACGATTATGCATACATAATTCTCCATAATATACTATACATCATTCAAACGCAAT